TACATTTCAACTTTAGTTTTTTGCTCTGTTGTGCTCAGTGTATTTTTTTGCATTTATTTTATTTCTCCTAAAATCATATTATATATACAGTATATTACGTTGCTCTTTCTATTAATATTTATAGACTCAAATATTTAATATATTTTTTGAGGACAGTGAATTATAGTTTGGCCCGTGGCACTTTATTTCCCCCCAGAACTGCGTGTGCATTATTTTCCACGCCTCATTGTCACAGATGTTGAAGATTTCAAGTCCGTCGTGTCGACTCTGAGCGAACACAGCAGACTGGAGAACATGCTCTCTCTGAATCACGTCAGAAAGCCAATCATCACGTATTTAATGACTGCATGAACAAGCCGTGACACTTGAGTTATCTTGCACTAACCAGTGTCATCCAAACCTCCTCGAATAGACACAACCTTTGTCAAGGTTTGTGTTTGTCCTCGACTTATATTTAACTTCTCAGTCTTAATCGGTGTGTAAGTCACATTCTAACAACTCACACATTGCTATGACTGATACTGTACAAAACAGTGTGGTAGTTTCCTAACTCACTAAACTACAGTATTACTGGTGTAACATTGTTTAGGATAAGACACATTTTAGAACCTAAAACTGAAGTCTAGAGACTAAAGATAAAGATGTTCTGAAGATATTGAGTGTTTTGTGCTTTTTACTTCTCTTTGCAGGCTGCTGATGAACAAACAGGCCAGAAAATGAACGAAGTGCATCAGGAACCAGACCTGCTGGCCCTCAAGTTTCTTTATAGCAACACAGATGCACCCAAAGACACCACAGTAAGTCTGTTACGAAGACAAAAAGACTATTTTTCCAGACTGCAGGGGTTTCTGTCAGTCGAAGGTCTTAGAAGTTCAGTAATTTAATGTTATTCCCTGATTTTTGTTAATGGTCACATGCAAGTAAACACATACAATACATACATTTTAGTGTTTTATTTTGACTGATAGGCTGCACAGCAAAAATTATATTGTGATTATTTTGTCATTTGAAATCCCTTATTGATTCATTGTGCAGCCCAGATTTTTATTTTAATGTTAATTATTAATAATAGGAAATAGTTTAGAGTACCTAAATCTAAAAATGTTGCCTAAAATAGTAGTCTTCATTAATCTTCAACATTCAAAGCTGGATTTTTTGGGCCTTATGCTCACCTTCTGGGGCCCTATTAGCAGTGTTGCAGAAATACTGTAGAACCATTCTATATTAAACCTTCATGTAACCTTCTCCCTTTAAATACTTTTGTTAGTTCTAGAATAATTTATGCACTTTTATATTATTGATCTGGAAGAATTAGAAGAGCAGTTTCACGTCTATCCTTGTTCTGCTCAAGTGGTCGAGGTTAATATGGGATTTAGCAAGTAATTAGTAATAAGTAATGCAACACTTTCTAAAGAGAGTAATTAGTGCAGCAATCTAATTATTCTGTTGAAGGTGTAGTTAGTAGCTACTGATTACTTACTTTTTAAGAGTAACTTACTCAACACCTCCTGTTAGGCTTTTGTGGCCCCTGGCAGTATGAGGCCCCTAGAGGACAAACTGCTTACAACTGAACTGAAATGATTAGGATGGTCCCTTTGATGTTTTTTGTCAGGAGCCCGTCAGCAGCTCTTCTTCTGGCACAAGCATGACTCTGCTCCCGGCGTATCTCTCAGCGTTAGCTGCTAAACCGCGAGCGGCCCCGCGGGGCCCCGGTGCTATAGAGCAGATGAGAGCGGAGCTCCGAGAGCTCCGAGATGACCTGGACACGCTGAAGACTCAGCACAAGTTTGTGTAACATCAATGCACGCTGTTTTGGGCTTCTTATCCTTATTTTTCTGTAAATGCAACGTCACTGTGTTTCAGAAAAGAGATCAAACTGCTCCTGAACGAACTGGATGAAGAAAAGAAGATGCGTTTGTCACTGCAAGTATTTCTCCTAAAATCATATTATATATACAGTATATTACGTTGCTCTTTCTATTAATATTTATAGACTCAAATATTTAATATATTTTTTGAGGACAGTGAATTATAGTTTGGCCCGTGGCACTTTATTTCCCCCCAGAACTGCGTGTGCATTATTTTCCACGCCTCATTGTCACAGATGTTGAAGATTTCAAGTCCGTCGTGTCGACTCTGAGCGAACACAGCAGACTGGAGAACATGCTCTCTCTGAATCACGTCAGAAAGCCAATCATCACGTATTTAATGACTGCATGAACAAGCCGTGACACTTGAGTTATCTTGCACTAACCAGTGTCATCCAAACCTCCTCGAATAGACACAACCTTTGTCAAGGTTTGTGTTTGTCCTCGACTTATATTTAACTTCTCAGTCTTAATCGGTGTGTAAGTCACATTCTAACAACTCACACATTGCTATGACTGATACTGTACAAAACAGTGTGGTAGTTTCCTAACTCACTAAACTACAGTATTACTGGTGTAACATTGTTTAGGATAAGACACATTTTAGAACCTAAAACTGAAGTCTAGAGACTAAAGATAAAGATGTTCTGAAGATATTGAGTGTTTTGTGCTTTTTACTTCTCTTTGCAGGCTGCTGATGAACAAACAGGCCAGAAAATGAACGAAGTGCATCAGGAACCAGACCTGCTGGCCCTCAAGTTTCTTTATAGCAACACAGATGCACCCAAAGACACCACAGTAAGTCTGTTACGAAGACAAAAAGACTATTTTTCCAGACTGCAGGGGTTTCTGTCAGTCGAAGGTCTTAGAAGTTCAGTAATTTAATGTTATTCCCTGATTTTTGTTAATGGTCACATGCAAGTAAACACATACAATACATACATTTTAGTGTTTTATTTTGACTGATAGGCTGCACAGCAAAAATTATATTGTGATTATTTTGTCATTTGAAATCCCTTGTTGATTCATTGTGCAGCCCAGATTTTTATTTTAATGTTAATTATTAATAATAGGAAATAGTTTAGAGTACCTAAATCTAAAAATGTTGCCTAAAATAGTAGTCTTCATTAATCTTCAACATTCAAAGCTGGATTTTTTGGGCCTTATGCTCACCTTCTGGGGCCCTATTAGCAGTGTTGCAGAAATACTGTAGAACCATTCTATATTAAACCTTCATGTAACCTTCTCCCTTTAAATACTTTTGTTAGTTCTAGAATAATTTATGCACTTTTATATTATTGATCTGGAAGAATTAGAAGAGCAGTTTCACGTCTATCCTTGTTCTGCTCAAGTGGTCGAGGTTAATATGGGATTTAGCAAGTAATTAGTAATAAGTAATGCAACACTTTCTAAAGAGAGTAATTAGTGCAGCAATCTAATTATTCTGTTGAAGGTGTAGTTAGTAGCTACTGATTACTTACTTTTTAAGAGTAACTTACTCAACACCTCCTGTTAGGCTTTTGTGGCCCCTGGCAGTATGAGGCCCCTAGAGGACAAACTGCTTACAACTGAACTGAAATGATTAGGATGGTCCCTTTGATGTTTTTTGTCAGGAGCCCGTCAGCAGCTCTTCTTCTGGCACAAGCATGACTCTGCTCCCGGCGTATCTCTCAGCGTTAGCTGCTAAACCGCGAGCGGCCCCGCGGGGCCCCGGTGCTATAGAGCAGATGAGAGCGGAGCTCCGAGAGCTCCGAGATGACCTGGACACGCTGAAGACTCAGCACAAGTTTGTGTAACATCAATGCACGCTGTTTTGGGCTTCTTATCCTTATTTTTCTGTAAATGCAACGTCACTGTGTTTCAGAAAAGAGATCAAACTGCTCCTGAACGAACTGGATGAAGAAAAGAAGATGCGTTTGTCACTGCAAGTGAGTCAAGAGCCTCTAGATGTTAAACTATAAACTATAAACTATTTCATTCGTGAGCAGTGCTGGGGAAAGCTACTTTTAAAAGTAATGCATTACAATGTTGCGTTACTCCATATAAAAGTAACTAATTGTGTTACTTAGTTACTTTTTATGGAAAGTAATGCGTTACATTAGACTACTTTTTGTATTACCTGGGCTGGACTTGCTTATTTATTTTTTAACAACCAAAAACCCCAAAATGATGTAAGGTTTGGGTAACAGTTGTTTGTCACTGCAAGTGAGTCAAGAGCCTCTAGATGTTAAACTATTTCATTCGTGAGCAGTGCTGGGGAAAGCTACTTTTAAAAGTAATGCATTACAATGTTGCGTTACTCCATATAAAAGTAACTAATTGTGTTACTTAGTTACTTTTTATGGAAAGTAATGCGTTACATTAGACTACTTTTTGTATTACCTGGGCTGGACTTGCTTATTTATTTTTTAACAACCAAAAACCCCAAAATGATGTAAGGTTTGGGTAACAGTAAAGGCATAAATAAATTAAATCAATTGGAAAACATAGCAACTTGTGTCTTGCTTGTAATGTGTTGTTTAGTTTTGTACCGTGAACACTCACTAGTGCTCTCTTTCTCTTCAGATTGAAGTGGAACGTCTTAAGAAGCACATGTCCAAGTGAGCCAGCTCTGATGAAGCCGTCAGACGTCACAGATACAGACACGGAGTCTCGGCCAAACGCAAGTGTGCAATGAAGAACTTACAAAGACTGAGGAAGAACTTTGTATCAGAACACCGTGAACATATTGCTGTATAAAACACGTTTTGGGTTTGAAACCATGCACGATGACTGGAAAGAGAGAGCAACCTATAAAAAAGACCATCAAAAAAAGAATATCTGTTAAACTGTAATTTATTTCCGTGATCAAAGCTGAATTTTCAACAGTCTTCAGTGTCACATGATCTTCAGAAATCATTCTAATATGCTGATTTGCTGCTCTTCTTATTATTGAAAACGGTTAATGTTTTTGTGGAAACTGTGATACATTTATTCAGGATTCTGATGAAGTTCAGAAGAACTTGCATTTTTAAAAAATAAATTTTTTTGTTACAATGCAAATGTATCAATTGAAAAAAAAAAAAAGTTACTGGACAACCAACTTTTCAATAGTAGCGTGTGATGAAATGCATTAACATTGCTATTATATTTATACATGTATGATTACATCACAATTTCATTTTTATATGCAGTGAGCGGAAAGGCAAGACGTGAGGCATAAGATGTAAAAAAAGTGTCCTCTAAGAAAAAAACTATACTTTAAAACAAAGAAAACTAAAGCAATACCATAAATATCACCGAGGCAAAAACAAGACAAATAAATATTTACAAAAATATTTATTTACATTACATAAAAACCACGAAGGTACAGCAACACTTTCTTTAAGAAAACCAAACAACAAGCTGTAAATGAGATTTCTGAAGGGACTCTGAAAGACAGCACTGACGCTGACCCGAGAGAAAAGGACAGCGGTGTCTGGATCAGAAGTTCGAGTCTTCACAGGGAATCGGTCTGAACGTCACCTCTTTATTTTCCTCCAGCAGAAGATCATAGCGACACAGAGGCCCGCTGAAACACAAGACAACGGTTTAGAGAATCTGAGTTTGAGTGACAAACCAGAAGAGATGTCGTGGCTATGTCTCTATTCGGTTTAAGATGTGTACTGACAAGCATTAATTAAATCTTTATGTCTGAATAACCTCGGATTTAATTCACATTGGCAGTGAGTTTGAATCTAGCCTGCGACATTTCTCAATCCCCTGTACAAAGATGAATGTTTCTATTTAAAAGTCTGGGGTCAGTAAGATACTTGAATGTTTCTGAGAGAAGTCTCTTCTGCTCACCAAGGATACAGTAAAAATAGTGAAAAATTATTAACAGCTGTTTCTGCGGGAATATCTGTTAAACTGTAATTTATTTCTGTGATCAAAGCTGGATTTTCAGCATCTTCAGTGTCACACGATCTTCAGAAATCATTCTAATGTGCTGAACATTTCTGATTATTATCAATGTTGAACACAGTCGTGCTGCACAATATTTTTGTGGAAACTGTGATGCATTTTATTTTTCAGGATTCACAGATGAACAGAAAGTTCAAAAGAGCAGCATTTCTTTGAAATAGAAATCTACTGTAACATTATAAATGTCTTTACTCTCATTTATGATCAATTTAATGCAGCCTTGATGAATAAAAAATGTAATTTATTTAAAAATAACAAACTTTTGAGTATGTTTGACGTCAAACATGACACACCTTGAGACCTCATGCTTGAATTAAACGAAGCACAGATCACTGATTGACAGAGCTGCTATTGGGCTTGCTGTGAACAGTTCATGAAGAGCATGTATAAGAAGAGCTCAGACATGAACTCTTCCTTCAGATGAAAGCACACAGACCTGAGGTGGTTCTGTAGAGGAGTGAGGCGGATGCGCAGGAGCCGCAGTTTCTTGCTCGGCCGGAGTCCTTTCCCCGTACAGAACTTGAGTGAGATCTCTTTCACAGGCTGGACGTCTCGGTCAAACTGAGCCAGAACGCTGCTCTCCACAAACCTCTCAAACATCAGGGATTTACTGGAAGAGAGAGGAGAAACATCAGCATCCAAAACATCGATCTGGGAATACTCCTTACACGAGAACGAGACTTACTGATTGAGCTCAACTTGCGCCTCTTCCTGTCCATCGCTTAATTTAATCGTTAAATATCCCCAGTGTGTCTTCTGGTTCCATGTGATAATATCAACCTTGTAACCGAACTCTAGTGGAGTCAGAGATTACATAATCAAGCTGTTACATTATATATATATATATATATATGTGTCCCTGCAGCACAAAAGCAGTGTTAAGTCTTATGTTTCTTTAAGAGCGCGAGAAGCATCTTGCAAGTAATTATGATTATGTAATTATGACACTTTTATATGCCTCGCATTTGGAAATTCTGAGAGGTATGGTTAGAAAGCAAGTCAAAATTAAAATACTGAAAGATTTAAAATCAATCTTTATTTTTTATTTAATTTGACAAGCATTTTTAAGTTTAAAGAGTACACAAATACACACTGCCATTCAAAAGTTTAGGACCAGTAAGATTTTTAATGTTTAAAAAAAAAAAAAAAATCTTCTGCTCATCAAGGCTGCATTTATTTGATTAAAAAAAATACAGAAAATTATTGTAAAATTTATAATGGTTTTCTGTTTTAATATACTTTAAATTATAATTTATATTTAACAATAATACAATACAGTTTAAAAGTTTGGGGTTAGTACATTTAAAAAAAATTAATACTTATACTTCAGCAAAGACTAGTAAAGACTGACATTGCTACAAAATATTTCTATTTTAAATAAACTGATAATAGAGAAATGTTTCTCGAGCAGCAGATCAGCATATTATACTGATTTCTGAAGATCATGTGACACTGAAGACTGGAGGAATGATGCTGAAAATACAGCTGCACATCACAGAAATACATTACAGTTTAACAGAGATTCACACAGAAAACAGCTGTTTTAAATTATAATAATATTTCACAATATTAAGTTTTTTCCTGTACTTTTGATCAAATAAATGCAGCCTTGATGAGCAGAAGAAACGTCTGATCCCAAACTGAACAGCAGTGCGTGTGTGTTTTGTGTAATACTATTTTTAATTGCGGTTACATTAAAATGCTATTAAAATGGTTAAAGCTGACCTGAAAAGATGGTTCTGGGGCATCCAGGCTGATCCGCTCCACCGTTTGCGTAATAGTCGATGTGACCCAGGACATCACGATAGCCCAGCGCTGCAAGAAAACACCAGCCATGAGTTAACCACGTCTAGATATTCATGTTCTATATAGAGTGTCACATAATCAAGAGCCCCGTCTCGTGACGTGTGAGAGAAACACACCGTCCATGTCTGTGTGCAGCGCCTCCACGAACTGGGCATCAGACGGGTCGAGACGCTCGCTGGGGGGCTGACCGTTAAACTCGGGCCCCGCCGGATCCAGTGCTGAGTGAGACACGCAAACATCACAATCACACACTGAAACACTCCACTCAGAGCTTCAGGAGAACGGATCAGTCTCACCTGTTATTCTGCCAATGCTTCCTTTAAAATTGGCCCCAGTGAAACCCGAGATGTGGGCCCCTAAACTGACACCGATCATGTGTATGGAGCCGAGATCAGCCCCTTTCTCCTGTGATGTCAAAACACACACACACACACACGTTTGTTTCTGTGAATTGTGGGGACTTTCCATAGACTTCTATTACTTGTATACTGACCAAACAGTATTTTCTATCCCCTACCCCTTACAGAAAACTTTCTGCATTTTTAGATTTTCAAAAAACTTGATTTATTCATTTGTTTACCCGTGGGGACCTCAATTTAGGTCCCCACCGTGACACGAGTCCCCATGAGTCTGTATGTGTGTGAGAGAGTCACACTCTCACACACACACTCTCTCTCACACACACACACACACACACACACACACACACACGCACACAAAATCCGGATATGTTAAAGGGTTGAGCAAAAATAAAATCTAAATGCAAGACCTAATAAAAACAAATAAATAAAATAAAACATCCAAAAAGCCTCTCTATGTATTTATGTACCATCTCATTACACAAGTTTTTATTTTAACGCTTCCAGTTGGCGATAGTTTAAAGGCCTTCATTGTATTTTATCTGAAGTATGACAGGACAACGTTACCTACTTGAGCACTACGTCAACATAAAACAACAAGACTGTCACCTGCTGTTTATTCAGGACTCCACCTGAAGAAGTTAATGATTTACCTGCATGCTTCACCTGTGCACAGACAAACCTGATACCTGTCCTCAAGACCCAGCACAACCTTCAACAGCTCATATCTGTTTATTTCATTTCTCCCCGAGGTAGTGTTTCATTTCCAGCCGAGGTTTCACAACCACTTTCCACCCTCTCCCTGACCCAGGGTCATTATTGCTAAATAATTGCTAAAACGACAATATAAATAAATATAAATTGTAATAAATAAACAAACAAATAAATAAGCAAAATTGCTTAAGATATAAATTTGTTTTATTTCAGCTAGTTGCCGATGCAACATTTCTTATTTCCATTTAGTTTCATTTAAGTTGAAGTACTAAAATAAATACTAAAAACTAAATAAAAAAATGCATACACATAAAAAAAACACAACAAAATTACTAAAACTATAAGCAAAATTAAAAACAGAAAATATTATTATTAGCAATTATAATTTTCTGCTTTGCTCAGTCATGAATTAGGACTTGTTAATCAGTTTTAGGGCTCAGGACTCTCTCACGGAGAACAGCTTCTGATTGGGAAAAAAAAACAGTGTGCAATATATAATATAGACGAAGTCAAAAGTTTACATACACCTTTCAGAATCTGCAAAATGTTAATTATTTTACCAAAATAAGAGGGATCATACAAAATGTGTTGTTTATTTAGCACTGACGTGAATAAGATATTTCGCATAAAAGATGTTTACATATAGTCCACAAGAGAAAATAAGTTGAATTTATAAAAATGAGCCTTTTCAAAAGTTTACACCCCCTCTCCCCTGACTCTTAATACTGTGCTGTTATCTGAATGATCCACAGCTGTTTTTGTGTTTAGTGATAGCTGTTCATGAGTCCCTTGTTTGTCCTGAACAGTTAAACTGCCTGCTGTTCTTCAGAAAAACCCCCAGCTCCCACAAATTCTGTGGTTTTCCAGCATTTTTGTGTATTTGAACTCTTTCCAACAATAACTGTATGATTTTGAGATGCATCTTTTCACACCGAGGACAACTGAGGGAGTCAAACACAACTATTACAGAAGCTTCAGACGCTCGCTGATGCTCCAGAAGGAAAAACCATGCATTCAGAGCTGGGGGTGAAAACTTTTGAACCGAATGGAGGTGTGTGCATTTTTCTTATTTTGCCTAAATATCATATTTTTTTCATTTAGCGCTGCCCTTCAGAAGCTACAGAAGAAACTTACATGATTCCCAGAAGACAAAATAAGTTAAATTTACCCTGATCTTCAGGGGGTAAACTTTTGAACAGGGTCATTTTTATAAATTCAACTATTATTTTCCCTTGTGAACTATATGTAAACATCTTTTATGTGAAATATCTTACTCAGGTCAGTACTAAATAAACAATAACATGCATTTTGTATGATTTACCTCTTACTTTGGTAAAATAATTAACATTTTGCAGATTCTGAAAGGTTTATGTAAACTTTTGACTTCAACTGTATAATATATGTATATTTAAAAAAGTTGGCATGAAATGAATATTCACCCTATGTATTTTGTAAATGCAAACTCGACTTCTCTCTGCTGATGCGCAGGACAATCATTTAGTCCAAAAAAAACCACTCCATACTGACTGCAAGCTTGCATTTATTTTTGAATGAAATGCACAGACCTCAAAATTCAGTCAACGGCAGATGAACAGAAGATTTTTTTTCTTTTCTTTTTCAATAATCCATTACACTTGGATGCAATTCGCAAAATGAAGAAAAGCCCTATTGATACATCCGTTTCATTGCAGCTTTAAAAGTGAATAGCTGTTAAATGTGCATTTTGCATTTACTTCTAGACTTCTAAAATCTACAAATTAATTTTGATTTCATGGGGCGTCCGACATTCATCCAACAGTGAAGGAACATTTAATTAGTATTAGTATCATGAATTAGAGACGATCATTGTGGCTTCTGTAGTGCTAATATTTTGCAGTGAAAAAAGATTCTGTAGACAATCGGAGTCCAAGATGTAAATAATGAATGTCCCAGCCAAAAATAAATAAATAATTACAAATTCCTGACAGCATCTACTTACAATTTCTATTACTAACACCATAATCATTGTTAAGTACCAAACCATCAATTTAGGCTGACTCACTAATTAATACTGAACTGATTTGAGCCGAAAAATGACATTGTTCATTGTAAAGTGTTGTAGATTTTTTCTTGATCAAAATAAATTGCTCTGGAGAGGTTTTGAAGCCAGATAGACGTTTATTAACAAGTTAACAAAAGGCAGAGTAATGTTCGAACACCACTCCAGAATATCGGTTTAACACTCTTATATACAGTAATATATGCGCCTGAAGCGGTTCACTGTATTCCATATGTGCACCATTGTATTTTTGGACTGGTATCTTTTACCATTTGTGACCCTGGAGCACAAAATCAGTCATAAGGGTCAATTTTTCAAAATTGAGATTTATGCATGATATGAAAGCTGAATAAATAAGCTTTCCATTGATGCATGGTTTGTTAGGATAGGACAATATTTGGCCGAGATGCAACTATTTGAAAATCTGGAATCTGAGGGTGCAAAAAAATCTAAATATTGAGAAAATCATCTTTAAAGTTGTTCAAATGAAGTTCTTAGCAATGCATATTACTAATCAAACATTAAGTTTTGATATATTTACGGTAGGAGATTTACTAAATATCTTCA